AGGCCTGTGTAGGAGATCATCTCTCTGATTCATCAAGAAGACATAATGTTGTACCATACAAACACAGAACTTCTACTCCTAACTACCCAAAATGTCCAAACCACACCCAGAAACATTGTGAACTTTACTGTGAGAAATGTGACATTCCTGTCTGTTCTACCTGCATCTCCTCTGGGAAACACAAAGGACATGATTTATCTGATGCTCTGCAAAAACTAAATTTTAAGACTAAAGATTTAGAAGTCTTGAAAGAACTAGAGAAGAGAATCTATCCTAAATATGAAGAAATTGCCTCAGATATAAATTCTGAAAAAGTTACGTTAAAACAACATTACAGGAAACTGACAACAGCTGTCACCAAACAAGGAGAAAACTGGCACAAAGAAATTAATATCATTGTCAACAAACGAAAATCTGAAATTGATGAAATGAAAGCAAAGCATCTGGCCATTCTAAATAAACAGGAAGAAGAAATTGAACAAATCATTCCTTTTATAAAACAGAGTATTTTTGATCTGAAGAAAACGCTTGATTCCAATGATATCTCCCAAATATCTGCATTCAAACCAAGGAATGATGAATTCCGAAGCTTACCTCCTAAAGTCAATGTGGCAATACCAAGTTTCTCTCCTCATCAGATCAACACAGAAGAACTCAATCAAATGTTTGGTTCTCTGTCAGCATTATCCATTACAACAGAAGAACATGGTTACACAATTGAGGCACCAGAAGCTGTATCCTGTCCTCCAGTCAAACCAGTGTTTGATGAACCAGTGCTCATCACCACTATATCCACTGGTTATCTGTTAAGCCTTACCTGCCTCAGTGATGAAGAAATTTGGACATGTGGAGGTAGCGAAGTCATGAGACTCTACAACCTCAAGGGCAAAATTCTGAAGACAATAAAAACCAAATCAGGGAGAGAATCACGTGACATAGCAGTGACAAGGAGTGGAGATCTGGTTTATACTGACCCTGGTACAAGAACTGTAAACATAGTGAAGAATAAACAGATAAAGGAAGTGATCAGATTACACGGATGGAAACCTCCTCTGGTGATCTCTTGGTTACCATGGACAGTGATGATGGAGAACAATCGAAAGTTGTCCGTTACTCTGGCTCCACGGAGAAACAAACCATTCAGTTTGATAGTAAAGGTCAACCGCTTTATACACCTGATTACTGTAAATACATAACTGAGAACAGGAACATGGATATCTGTTTAGCTGACAATGGAGCTCATGCAGTAGTTGTGGTCAATCAAGCTGGAATACTCCGAGTTAGATACACTGGTCATCCATCTGCTACAAAGAAATTATTCTACCCATGTGGCATCACAACAGACAGCCAAAGTCAGACCCTGACAGCAGAAAATACAGACTACGTATACTGTATCCATATCTTAGATCAGGGCGGACAGTTCCTCCGTTACATTGATAATTGTGATCTAACTACTCCAAATGGTTTATGTGTAGACACCAAAGACAACCTGTTTGTGGCTGAGTGTAACAAAGGTAGAGTGAAGAAAATTAAGTACATGTAGGATAACCGAGAATCAGGAAGTGAAAAAGAATTATCATGCCTGTTTTAAGTATATAAGCAAGAATTTATCACATTATTTATTTAATGCATATGTGAAATGAGCTAACATTTTGTACAGTCAACCTTATTGACAAATATTTTCAGTGGAAATATTTTTTAAAGGAATCATTTCTGTTGTATCCATATTTGTTTCCTCAGTAAAGTATTACCTTGAATAATATATGTGTTTTTATCGGTCAGAGGATTGATTAAAACAAATTATTTGAGGGAAAAACATTGTTCAAGTGCTACACGAGGGTCGTTCATCCATACTTGCCATAAAGCATCCTTGAGTGAAGGAGAGTCAAGTTTGATCAAATGAAGGAACCTTTTTTCATGGGGAGATAATTAAAAATTGGTGAAAATTTAATGTCATCTTTTTAAAACCTTCTTCTAAAAAACCACTGGGTCAGAAAAAATTAAACTTATGCAAAAGTTTCCTTACATATAGTGTAGATTCAAATTTCTTTAAATCATGGTCTCCGGGTCTCAATAGGAGATCAAAGTTTTATGAAGGAATATAATGGGGAAAAAATCTTTAAAATATCTTCTCAAGAACGCAAAGCCATGACTAGTCAAATTTAGAAGAGAGCATCCTCAGGTAGCGCAGATTCAATTTTGTTCTAATAATGAGCATCGGGGCTAAGGCTGGTCTACAACAAGCAATCAAAGTGCTATAAGAAAGATCTTTAATTTTTTTCTTCACGGGGTAAGCCATGACCATGTCTATTCAAATTTATATGAAAACATTCTCAGGATAGATTCTAGTTTGTTCAAATCGTGGCCCCCGGGGCTAGGGTGGGGCAACAATGAGCGATCAATTTTTTTTCTATGGGAATAAACTGTACATCGGAAAAATCTTTTAAAATCTTCTGAAGAAGAACAGCAAAATCATGATTATTCATATTTATATATCTACATTCAGTGTGATTTTCTTTATGAAATCCACTGGAAATCTACAACATCCAATACCCTATAACACACACGAAACCTTGTCACTGCGCTGTAGAATACACAGTAGGAACTATATCATGTATATGCATTTTCAATACTCTAGGAACACCAAAATGTATGCATGAATGAAATATGAAGATAACGAACAGTATTCAATCTCGAAAGTCCAATGAAACGATACAAATTTGGAGCAGAGCAAACACGGACCTCAAAATGTAGAGGTGGGATCTGGTGCCATGGAGGAGTGAGCATCCCCTGCCGACCGGTCACAAACGCCATGTGCTCCTTGTCATGATCGGGAAAAAACTGGAAAATCCGTAGACAGTTCAGTTATAAAATAGTAGCCTTACAATTAGTATGAAAAATGTTAGTCAGCATTTGACACAATGATAGGCTGTATGTTCTGACAAGGTCATTGTATCGACCATAAAACTTGCGAAATGATGACGTCAAACGAGACTGTTGATATCTTCTTTGTCAATAGCTTGCCTCGTTTTAGAAATTGTTCATACATGTACGTAGAGCATGCTCTTGCATATTGAATCAACTGAGAGACATAAACCCCATATGCAGGTGTTAAGGGTATATTGCTACATAATTAAGGGAAGTTGACGATTGAAACGTTGAAGTCATCACGTTTATCATAAAGCTTTGTTGTTAGAATACCATTAGCATCTTTATCTAGTATAATATCTAAATACGAATTAGATGTGTCAGAATCTGTGGTATCTTTTATTTCAAGCTCACTGTGATATATCGAGTCGACGTATGAATGAAAGTAACTATTATTAATTGATAATACACCGTCAATATATCGAAATGTCGAGTTGAAGGCCACAACAAATATTTTCTTCTTCTCCTGTAGAAGTTTTTGAATAAATTCTGTTTCATATGAATACAAAAATAGGTCTGTTTTGGCTCAATGTAATGAAAAACAATTACTCTTTAAAAGTATCGTTCAAATATAACATTTTTACGTTTAGAATTAATTTGTCATTTTCCCTTGCAATATTCATTTGCGTTATTTAATTAAATTTGCAAGTCAACAACGGCTCTTACGTTTATTAAGCACACCAGTTCTGAAAGGCGATAAATTCATGATAAAGATTAAAGAAACAATAATGAAGAGAGAAAATTAAAGAATTTAAATATAAGCATTAAATTCTTATTTTTGGAAACAAAAATAAAGATTCAATGCTTAATTGGAAGCAACATCAGGTAATGTAGATAGATTCAGGTTTGATCAAATCATGACCCCCGTGGTTAGAGTGGGGCCACGATAAAAAAATAAAGTTTTACGTTGGAATGTATTGGGAAAAATCTTGTATAGAACAACAAGCCATCTTTAGTCATATTAATGTGGAAGCATCCTCTGTAGTGTATAATTTTAAGTTTGTTCAAATCAATACACTCGGAGGTAGGATCGGGATCAAATTTTTACATAGGAATATGAACAGCAAAGCCATTGTGACGATGTAATTAAGTCTTCCAAGAAAATACTCATCACTATATGTTTACCGTTCTTTATTCATGAATTTCAAAACGTTACATTCAACTCGCTAAAACTCTACTTTAAGACTAAAAACTAACAGACACACTTAAAATCTCATCTCTTTTCCCCATTTCTTTCCACATTTCTAAGGAAAACCAATGAAAGTGTATAAAACAAATTGCAACATTAAAAGAGAGACGGTTGACATTAATTTAGGCAGAATTCTCAAGACAGGAAATGTTTAACCTTTTATCTCTACGCTGAATGTTAACTTACAATACTGTCATTGATACCGTGGGATGAGAGGGGGAGAGATGTCAAAATGATAAATATAACACAGATGCTGAAACATCAAAATAAAATAGACAAATTCACTCCTTGACCCCATGATAAGGCATATGCAAGCATCTTCAAGCATAATTTGTCTCCCAGTTGATTCGATATGCAAGAGCATGTTCTACGTATGAACAATTTCTAAAACGAGGCAAGCTATTGATAAACAAGTTGATGAAACAAGGATATCAACAATCTCCTTTGAAGACATCAATTCGCAAGTTTTATGGTCCATACAGACCTTGTCGGCAAATACCGCCTCTCACTAAATCAAATGCTGACGTCTTTGTCTACGCATTTTCCCGTTTTTCCGATCATGACAAGGAGCACACGGCGGGTGTGACAGGTAGGCAGGGTATGCTCATTCCTCCGTGGCACCTGATCCCACCTCTGATGTTTTGGATGTCCGTGTTTGCTCTGTTCCTGGTTTGTATTCTTTAAATGGACTTTGAGCTTGAATACTGTTCGTTATCATAATTCAATTCAATAGTTTAGCTTTAGGTTTGTTAAGATCAGGGCCCTCAAAAATAGGTTGAGACTACAGATAGGGAATCGGGGTTTTAAAAAGGAGTACATTAGATGAAATCTTTAAAAAGAGTTGCGAGATCATACTAAATCTTATTAATAACAAAACACACCCTATATATGTAGAATAGATTTATTTTCTTCAAAATTATAAGCCTTGGGTTTAGAGTTCAGCCAAACTCACAGATTCAGATTTTACATAATGCATAATGAGTGACAAATTCTCGAATGGGACGTAAAACTACATACAATCAATCAATCAATCATAATGCATGAGTACAAGAAAAATACTTAAAAACAAACATTATAACACATTATTTTTCCGAGAAATATTGGAAGTCCATTCATTGGTCATGCATATTACAAATATGATTCAAATGCCAATATTTGTTATGAGTAGTATAGCGTAGTGCTTAGCTTGTAAGTCTCGAAGCGAAAAATTACATTCAGGATTTTTATTGCTTGGGTTGAACCCCAAGAACATCCTCTTTTTTTAATCATAGAACGATTTTTGCCAAAATAATTTTCCAAAGAAAAGTTTTATTTGTCATAATTTCTTACCTTTCAATGATAAGAACTTTAAATACTAAATTCACAAGTAAATATGACTTTTATACATTTGAAGTTATAGGCATTTTGCACATCTAATTCACCCATCTCCTTTAGCTATATCAATTATCCCAGTGAACTCAAAATAAAAGACTCTACCAAAAAAGTCACATATGTTTCATATTTGGGTGTTTTAAAGACTAAAGACTTTAATGACCAACTAATAACTGAACTATATGACAAACAGGATGACTTTATATTTTCCAGTGTCAACTTTAGGTGATCATGTGTTTCCAGAAGTCCTTGTTTTTGTTTTGATTACAATTCGTATTGTTTACAAGATTTTCACGTTTTTATATAAACATCTAAAATGTTCTCTTTGTTTATACAGAAATGAACAGTTGCAATTCCTGCAGAATATTTTTTTTAAGTGAGATGCATTTTTTCTTCAATGTTCATCCCAGTATGAACAAAGAAAGAAAGCATAAAAATATCGTATAAATAAATATCACTTTTTATATCATCCACTCATTTATTCAGTTTTCGAAGGGAAAAAAAAAATATTTAAATGGGTTTAAATAGTGATCATTTAATCATTCGGAATTACCAAGTCACTTCAAGTGACAAAATAACCTGAAATTGTTTTCAGTAATATATCAATTTTATTTCGTTGTGTCATGAATTATAAGATGTGTCAATATATCAAATATAATTGACTATGGACATAGTAATTCAATTTACTTTCTTATAGAAATGTAAGGAATAAATATCAGCCACTATGAAATAATACCAATTAACGATGAAACCTCATTAAGCAGATTATGTATGCACAATCAAATTATTACAAAAGGATCTTTTACAGTGACACAAGTTCAAAGCCAAGTGCCAAGAACAAACAATTTTAATGCCTTATTAATGTACATCATTATACATGTATCCTATAAATTCATGTTTTAGAACTACAGGGAATAAGAATCACTTGGCTGTATTACATATATATTTGGCTGTATTACATGTTACCAAGGACGAATTCATTATAAGTGTGTTCCCTATAACTCTTGTTTAATAATGTATAATTTTAAGATCAAAAAAGGAAAATCTTAGTTAACAAACACAGCTAGGAGTAAAATGCTCATTTCTACTTCAAAATAATTATTTTCTCATTTCAGTATTCTTCATATTAATTAATGTTACTGGTATAAATAACAGTCACATAATAATTAAAGTGAGTAAGCCTGCAACATAGGAAATTTAAAAAAAAAATACATAATATGATCAACAACCTTGAAACAAATTCAATATTTATAAAAAAAAAATTGGGAAAATATAAACAAATGATTGAAGTGATAGTAAAATTAATCACATTTCTAAAAATATCACAGATTGTCCAACAGATCATCTTTATCAGTTTTTCATTGCTCTCTATTTTTTTCTTATCAAATATGTAAGCAATTAATACTGCAAATTCAATATTGTAACAATAAAAATCCACTATTCAGAACTATAAATTTACATATACTCAGAAATTTTATATATTAGAATGTATTTTTTCAGAGTGAAAATGTTAATTTCTCCATATGCTATGTTATGCAACAATCAGCCAGAAACCGGGTAGAACTGAAGATAAACAGACAACTCCATAATCACACTGTCTTCTGTAATATTCTGTTAACACATTGTCCTTGGTAAACACATTCTCCAAGATAAATAAGTGTTATTTACAGTTTTGAGTGATTATTCCTGTGTAAGAATGGCTTCAGGTGTTGATGATAGGAGTAGTGAACCTACAACATGAAAGAACACAATTACACATGTTTAAAATGTAAATTTACGTTCTAAGTTCTAAGTAATCGAGCTTATCAAGAAATGCATAATTAAAATTTGAATATTTTAAAATACTTTTCTTAAAAGTACCAGTGTATTGACAATGTTTATAGATCTCAAAATTAAACTCTGAAACAGAGTCAAGGAAATAAGAAATTCAGATTAAAGAAATTTCAAATTACCATATAAGCAGAAATTTTAGTGAGAATTCAATTTTGGCATTTTTAGCAAGTATATTGAGATCACTAAAAAAATTTAATATCGCCAACAATTTATTCTGCATAAGAGGTTACCGCTAACTTTCTATGCACCATAAAATCATGAAAATTATTTCTCGCTAAAATTATATACTGATTTTTAAAGACAAATCGCTACATTTACATCTCAATAAAAAATTCCACTTATATGGTATTTTAACATCATTGTATTGTTTTGACTTACATTTGATTGGTTGAGAGGTTCATTTTCCGTTGATTTCAGCATTCTCTCGTAGACATTTCCATCATAACATCCCAGTACAGATCCAAGGGTGTCATTATGGATGTCAAAGGCATCTACCAGAGACACAGCATCTGGTCTGTTAGGTAAAGGAGTTAAATGCATTATATCATTTCCAGTTTCAAGTTTTTAGACATGCACAATGTAAAGTATATTTAATAAGAGGATTAGAGAATCAAAATACTCAAACAAGACATTCCTTTGAAAAATTAGATTTAAAAAAAAAAAATCTTTTAAAATGCTACTGTGCCCTATCTGTAAACATAAAATTTGATGTTTCAAATAATTTGTCTACAATATCTTAACATCTGATAGTCTTATTTCCTTGAAAATATCTATATACCAGTATATTCTTATGCAAAATGTTGACCCTTACTGTCACCCCAACCTGACTTTTAGGAACTAAATTAAATCTACAATCATACATCTGTGAATTTATATGAATTTTTCAAGCTATGTTGTTCACTAGATTTTTAAAAATCTTTGTTTGCAAACAATTTTATTCCTATTGTGGCCTACATGTGACTTTGCATTATCCAAACAACCATGATTAAAAACATGATCACTTGTTAGTAATAAACAGATTTTGTCTTGATACTCCTCCAACACAGAGTTAAACATTCCCCTGACATTAGAATTTTCTTTAATTTTTGGCCCTGTGCTCTAAAATGCTCACCTGGTATTTACATGCGTTGTTATATTTATTTAGCAATAGTATTTATATAATGTGTAAGCTAAGATACTCATAACATTTAGACAGCTGGAAACAAAATGGTTTTGCACAGCTAGAAAAATTTACCTGATTTTAGCTAATATTTGAACCTCTTCTTCTTTCAGCCATTCCATCTGTGACAGACCAATAGACTCTGTCTAGAAAAATATAATCTCATAATTAATTTCAGGATCTTATGCTCTTTTTTGTTTTAAGAAACTGTAATGATTTTGAAGAAAAAGTTATATAATGAAGAAACTGAAAGACTGAAGCAAGTAAATTAAAGCATTATGCAAGCAATGTGAGTTTACAGATAATTTTAGATTATTTGTGAAATGTTTCTTTTAATATAATTTTATATATATTCTTACCTCAAGGAAATCTCCAGCATTTTTAACCATGTTGAAGACAGTGAAGAAGACTTGTAGATTATGTAGAGCATTTGACACAGGCAAGCTTGTCTGCAGCTGACTCATACTGTCATTGTAGTCCTTAATCATACAGTACATTATGTGGGCCTACAACCAATATAAATCTATAATACATGTAACACTGTATTTCCTTAATCATACAGTACATTATGTGGGCCTTCAACCAATATAAATCTATAATACATGTAACACTGTATTCCTTAATCATACAGTACATTATGTGGGCCTACAACCAAAATAAATCTATAATACATGTAACACCGTAGTCATTAATCATACAGTACACTATTACCAATCCACATTTCTTGTTAATGAGATGTATAAAGTTCACATTTACACTTGACAACATGCACAATATGATTATTGTTGTTACAGCGTATAGACATCATATTTTAGACAAGAAAAAGGCATATAATGGCAAGCTCTTTACATGATTGTATTTATTTGTGTATTCAGACTGGACACATCTGCTGGTCACATTTCAATCATGGATCATGTCTAATTGGTTTATATATACCCTAAACGTACATATATAATTATATGAATTAATATTTTAGAATTTATCATGAATTATTACACACTTCAGTTTGTAAAATGATGAAAGAAGAATCTTGCATAAATAAATTTAATGTTTATTCATAATTAAAGAGTTTCTGTATTAGTTACCATATTAGAGGGATAACACCCAGTTACTGTAGTGACAGTTACTGGATTAACGACACAAAGAACCAATCAATGAGAAAACACTGACCTTTGCTGCTCGGACCAGTTGTACCAAATTGTCATTCATGGCTACAGACTGCTTTTTTCCAGCCTCTATATCTTGTTGTAGTTTTCTTGCAGTCTTTGCAATCATTCTGAAAATTCCATGAAGAAGGCAATACATTAATATCATAATGATATTCCTATTGTCTTGTACATATTACTAGGTAATTCCGCCCAGAATAAGTATCTTTTATCTAACTCCACAATCTGGAATTAAGTGAGGAGTAATGCTAATAGAATTTCCTCTAGGACAATCATAAATAAAAGAAAATGTAATCTTTAAATGCCTTTGTTATCTGCATACCAGGACAACCAGAGACCGAAAGTATATGATAATGGATGGTCCACAGCTAACATTGAGACAATCTTATTTGATTTTTAGCAAGTTATTGTTGAAATTGAGAAGTAGTATATCATTTGTTTTTAAACTCACTGACTTTTATAATGCTCTCAAGTCACAAATCTACATTTTTTTCCAATTCTAAATTGATATGAGTTAACAGAACCCTACACTCTACATTTCCAATCATCTACATTGTATTGATACTTACACAAAGGCTCTGAATCTGTACACATCACACAAGAGTTCCACATTTCTACATTCTCTGGAGGATTTGAGGGGACACACATATTTACTGGGGTCCATTGTGAGGTAGTCTGTTGAGCCAGACAGTGTCTCTCCACTAATAGCAGAAGCAAACCTCTTCATTAAGTACCTATTCATTAAAGCAGAAATAAATTATATACAGGTATGTTGATACTGTATTCATTATAAATTTCAAAGAATCCATCACTTATATAATGCTTTGAAATACATGGAATTACAAAAGTGAAGGAACTAAAATTTCAAAAGCAACATGCACAATCATTCAATGTTGATGATTCTTCTGACGAATCCATGAAATTATTGTTTACCAAAGTACCATATATACTCGCCTATAAGTCGGTTTTTTGGGAGTTAAACTTTGGTCCAAAACTCTGTGTCCGACTAATAGGCGAGTCATAAAATGATTGGTATTTTAGAGGGTTAATCCCTCTAATATAAGCCTAAAAAATGCAACCGTCTTATAGGCGGACCAACTTATAAGTGAGTATATACAGTATATAAAGTCAAAGTACTGTTTTTGCATAATTTTTTGTTTTTTAATTTTGTTCTTACTATACTCGTAATATCTGCCCCTTCTGTTCCCTTGACAACAAACCTGGCCACCTGTAGGTACAGTACAGTGTTCTCTCCTTCTACAGTGATGAGGGACTTAGAGGCTGCCACTGCATCCCCCAGGGTAGCAGAGGAAAGGTAACCATGACCCCCACAGGCCTGTCTGCTGATCTCCATCACCTCCACCGTCATCTCAGAGGCCAGGGCCTTCATACCAGCCGATTGACAATGGATCTACAAATAGGGACAAATGTTAATACATGTACCCCCTTCATCTCTGAGGCTAGGGCCTTCATACCAGCCGATTGACAATGGATCTACAAATAGCGACAAATGTTAATACAGTCATGTACCCCCGTCATCTCAAAGGCCAGGGCCTTCATACCAGTCGACTGACAGTGGATCTACAAATAGGGACAAATGTTAATACATGTACCCCTGTCATCTCAAAGGCCAGGGCCTTCATACCAGCCCACTGACAGTGGATCTATAAATAGGGACAAATTTTAATACATGTGCCCCCTTCATCTCTGAGGCTAGGGCCTTCATACCAGCCGACAGACAGTGGATCTACTAATAGGGACAAATGTTAATACATGTACCCCTGTCATCTCAAAGGCCAGGGCCTTCATACCAGCCCACTGACAGTGGATCTACAAATAGGGACAAATGTTAATACATGTACATGTACCCCTGTCATCTCAAAGGCCAGGGCCTTCATACCAGCCGACTGACAGTGGATCTACAAATAGGGACAAATGTTAATACATGTACCCCCGTCATCTCAAAGGCCAGGGCCTTCATACCAGCCCACTGACAGTGAATCTACAAATAGGGACAAATGTTAATACATGTATCCCTGTCATCTCAAAGGCCAGGGCCTTCATACCAGCCGACTGACAGTGGATCTACAAATAGGGACAAATGTTAATACATGTACCCCTGTCATCTCAAAGGCCAGGGCCTTCATCCCAGCCGATTGACAGTGGATCTACAAATAGGGACAAATGTTAATACATGTACCCCTGTAATCTCAAAGGCCAGGGCCTTCATACCAGCCCACTGACAGTGGATCTACAAATAGGGACAAATGTTAATACATGTACCCCCATCATCTCAAAGGCCAGGGCCTTCATAACAGCCCACTGACAGTGAATCTACAAATAGGGACAAATGTTAATACATGTATACCCATCATCTCAAAGGCCAGGACCTTCATACCAGCCGAATGATAGTGGATCTACAAATAAGGACAAATGTTAATACATGTACCCCCATCATCTCAGAGGCCAGGGCCTTCATACCAGCCAACTGACAATGGATCTACAAATAGGGACAAATGTTAATACATGTGCCCCAGTCATCTCTGAGGCCAGGGCCCTCATACCTGCAGACTGACAGTGGATCTACAAATAGGGACAAATTTTAATATATGTACCCCCATCATCTCTGAGGCCAGGGCCTTCATACCAGTCGACTGACAGTGGATCTACAAATAGGGACAAATGTTAAATAATGCATATACCCCCACCATCATCTCTGAGGCCAAAAAATAAGAGTGATGCAAACTAAGTCTACAAAGATGAATCAAAAAGACCTAAAGAGGGGCAGGAAATACTTTTAGAGTGAAGAAAAATTAACAATGTAAATCTGTAAATCACAAAATCACTACAATGGAAGTACAGTTCAACTTCAGTATCTCAACCATCAATATCCTGCCTATCATGGAATACATTGAGGGGGTTTGGAATTAGAACTAGAAATATGTCCATAGGACATGAATGCCCTGCCAAGGGTATATAAGTAATGCAACATGAAAATTTGTATTAGTGTATGAAATTTGATGAGAATATCTTGAAAAGTTCCTTTAAAATTGAAATTGAAATCTAAAAAGTTGGATTTAGACGATAAATTCTCACCAAATTATGTATAAGTGCATAAACTTACATATATATATCTTAAATGGTTTCTTTAAAATTAAGCAAAATGCAAATCTAAGAAAAGTGAGGTCAAGGTCACAAGAAAGTTCAAGGTCAAATGTTTTTAATGCAGTTGAATACTTCTCACAAATACGTATCAGCAAATTTAAGTTTGATAAAAATATTTTGAATAAAACTGAGCTAAACACTAGTTTAAAATAAATGAAGTTAAGGTCCAAGGAAAGGTCAAGGTAAAAAAATGTTGATGCAGTTGAAAAGGTTACATCAGTATGTATTAGCATATAAAGTTCGATAAAAATATTATGAATTTTTTCTTTAAAACTGAGTTAAACACAAATTGAGAAAAGTGAGGTCAAGGACAAAGGAAAGATCAAGGTCAAAAAAATTGACGCAGTTGAATAGCTTACATGAGTATGTATCAGCACATGAAGTTTGACACTAATTTAAGATAAGTGAGGTCAAGGTCAAAGGAATGGTCAAGGTCAAAAAATGTTGATGCAGTTGAATAGCTCTCATCAGTATGTATCAACATATGAAGTTTGATAACACTGTATTGAATGGTATCTTTAAAACTGAGCTAAACACTAATTTAAGAAAAGTGAGGTCAAGGTCAAAGGAAATGCCAAGGTCAAAAAGTATTGATGCAGTTGAATAGCTCTCATCAGTATGTATCAGCATATGAAGTTTGATAAAAATATCTTGAAAGATTTCATTAAAACTGAGCTAAACACTATTTTAAGAAAAGTGAGGTCAAGGTCAAAGGAATTGTCAAGGTCAAAAAATGTTGATGCAGTTGAATAGCTCTCATCAGTATGTATCAACATATGAAGTTTGATAACACTGTATTGAATGGTATCTTTAAAACTGAGCTAAACACTAATTTAAGAAAAGTGAGGTCAAGGTCAAAAGAAATGCCAAGGTCAAAAAATATTGATGCAGTTGAATAGCTCTCATCAGTATGTATCAGCATATGAAGTTTGATAAAAATATCTTGAAAGATTTCATTGAAACTGAGCTAAACACTATTTTAAGAAAAGTGAGGTCAAGGTCAAAGGAATTGTCAAGGTCAAAAAATGTTGACGCAGTTGAATAGCTTACATCAGTATGTATCAACATATGAAGTTTGATTACACCATCTTGAATGGTATCTTTAAAACTGAGCTAAACACTACCATATATACTCGCCTATAAGGCGGTCGACCTATAAGTTGGTTGTACTTTTTAAGCTTAAATTAGAGGGATTGGCCAGCTAAAATACCATTCTTTTACTAACTCGTGTATAAGTCGGATAAAGAGTTTTGGAACAAAGTTTAACTCCCAAAAAACTGACTTATAGGCGAGTATATATGGTAATTTAAGAAAAGTGAGGTCAAGGTCAAAGGAAAGGTCAAGGTCAAAAAATGTTGATGCAGTTGAATAGCTTACATCAATATTTAGTATATAAAGTTTGATAAAAGTATCTTGCCATGGATAGTTTCTTTGAAACTGAGATTTGAAAAGAGCTAAACACAAAGCGTGACGGAAAAGACAGATGGAAGGACGGAAGACGGACATGACAAACACTATGTGCCCTGGCCATATTCATGGCGGGGCATAAAAAAAACACTTATTCTTTGAGAATTTTTCCCCAGATATCACGAAACTTCAGATATTTCAAAGTTTTTCTAGGTCCCATCAAGTCTGAGATAACGAGGTTTGACTATATACAGGTGACTCTCGATGGCTTGAACTCCGATCTCTCGAAGTTCTCGATCTCTCGAAGTGAACCTCCAGTACCGTTTTTTTCCTCTATATAACTAAGCAAATTTACTTCCGATCTCTCGAACTTCCAATCTCTGGAAGTTCTCCATCTCTCGAATTAAGACCTGGGTCCCGTTACACACATTTCATTGTTTTTTACTCTCTATCTCTGGAAGTTTTGATTGAGCGTGTGTACACGCCAATCAAGTGTAAAATTAATGCAGCTTGGACTTACCTGGATAACAGTGAACGCCTGGGGCTGGCATGGAGGTGTTAATTGGGTGTTTACATAGATGACACTATACCTGTGAGCATCCGAGTGTTGATATAAATAATTACTTGGTTATAATTGGTAAATTATAAACGAATTGCTTCACAACTTATTTTTGACTTGACAGCGCGACGAAAATTTTTAGAAAATAATTTAAGAGGCGTGTCAATAATTTTCCATAGATTATGAAGTTTTATTAGAGTGTACATAATCCCAGCATGACAAACATTGCACAAGAAATCCTATCTCAAGAATTAAATACCGATTTAATACGAGAAATCTGGTAAAGTATCAAGCCCCGGGGTAGCCACACCGACGATTGCTATTCAGGTTTTATGTAAACATGAAATGAAAACAAATAAATATTGAAACTTAAAGAGATCGTTTTATTTATTCAAAATACGATCATTGTTGTTGAAATCAAGTGAATTACCTGTAAAATACGAATGAAAACGTGCAATGTTATTATCAACATATACTTCCGGTATTTATAATAGTAGAACAATGATGATCGCAACTAAAAATTCCGGATTTTATTCACTTTCTATCTCTCGAACCCCTCGATCTCTCGAATTTTTCTTGCGGTCCCTTGAACTTCGAGAGATCGAGAGTCACCTGTATATTAATATGTTTTACCTCTGCTAAGTTTTGATAATTGCCCTTCATCATTTCAGCATGGATTCTCAAATAACGGTTCTGGAGAGTCTTGGAGACAAAGAACATGGCATAGGTTGTGGCAAGAGCTGGGAAGACTTTGTACTGCTGTGTTTGGTAATCCAGAATCTTAGTTTCCTCTGGACTACAAGGATTAAATTTAAAATGAAACCAAAAATATAATTTCCATATCTAAATGAAATCAAAGTAAAATAATAAATCAAGTGATAAATATTTGGAGACAAAATTCCTCAGTGCATTATATACTGGTATACAGATGTCCCAAAATTAATCTGAAGTTTGATCACCTACTTGGCATATAATGTTTTGGCAAACAATGGCTGAATGATCTTTTTAAAGGTAAAATCAAAGCTGCCTACCTTGCATCGAGCTTGGACTGCCTTCTAACGGAAGAATAACGTACAGTAATTGTACAGGTGTTACTAAGGGAGATAAAACACCAGTTTACAATGTTAACTCGGACTAACATCATGGCAGCATAATTCCCCTTGCTGGGGCCTCTTGAGGTAAAATGGCCCTCCCTACTGACCTACAAAAAAAAATATCTCAAAAAATTTAATGTTCCTGTACACAGTTTGATGATAAAAAAAACATTTTCAGTGAGTTGTAACTCAAAAATACACCTGCATTGTCGTAACACTATATAGAGTAAATTGTTAGAGTTTCTAACTTTCCAACTTGACAATAATACATGTTTTCATGAACGAAATGTAAAACAAGTTCTGCAATTATGTAAATTTTAAATCTTTTTATAATGCATAAGTTCTGATGAATATGCATATATATGATTTTACTAATCATTTAAATTGAACTTCATAATTTTACAAAATACATGCACATTTACTTTGCAGGGGATCTTGAATATATGAAAAATGTACAAACCTGTGCATTTTTCATTAACATATTTTCTCTCGGAATCCTGACATTATTTAAGATCAGAAAGCCATTGTCTACAGAATTAAACGACAGTTTGGGACCAATATCTCCAACCTTAATGCCTGCAAAAAATATACCATTATTAATTAAATACAGTTGAACTTCAGTATCTCAAACATGGATATCTCGAATACCATGGATATGTCAAAGTCATTTTGAAGTCCAAACTACTTTTTTCCTTAAGTATTTTACCCTGGATATCTCGAATCCTCTGTTATCTCGAAGTATTTTCTCGGTCCCTTCGAGTTTGAGATAACGAGGTTTGACTGTATATATGTAATTTACTGTTGACAGAATAAATTTTAAAATTTGTTTAAAATTTGTATCATATTCTACCTGATATAAGTAGTGGCTTGTGTAAATAAGAAAATTGTGTCATAGTTTATCTTGAAGTGGGTTATATATGTGTGTGATATTTTACCTGGTAGAGGTTTGTGATCCTCCATACTCCTTAGGGGGGTCAGGAAGGGGTGCATACCATACTTTTTACCATCAATGATTAGTGTGGCCAGAATTATAGCAATATTTACCGACTTTCCTACTGAAAACAAAAAATCAAAAACTAGCTCACACAATCTCCTGAAAGAGGAAAAATCAAACACCTGCAGCATTCAACATGCCTGAAGAAGAGCAGCAATTTTCCCCTATTCCTAGCCCCTACTACCAAAAAATAGATCATATAAAAAACAAACATATCCTTGTTTGATTTTATTATATATATTTTCTTCATTCATCAATTAGAGTATTACAATAAAATACCAAAATGTGAATAAAAAGCATACTTAAAGTGATAACTTACTTACAGTCAGGTTAATTTTTGCCAGTAAGTTGTAAAAGGAATGAAATATTTACAGGGACTCAGAGATATATTATGTGTTCATAAATACATGAGTGTGCTTTTACAGTTCCATGCAAACATATCCAGATCAATACATATTTTTGTTCAGACTTACATGAACCTGGCCACCATTTGATGGAGGTCACTTTTGGGGTATTAAGAACAAACTCCTCTGTGGTGGCATCATAAGTAGCTGTGGTCTCCAATCCCTGCAGGTAAGTTCCTATCAATGACCAAAGCCTCATTTAAGGAGTTTATTTTTTAGCTTTGTAAGTGTTTTTGGTGTGTAAACTATACAGACTTGTCACCTAGGCATATTACCTGAAGCACAATACATGTATTTTCATAATAAGTAAAAAGAGTAGATCTTGAAATAATGATATTTTTTAATTTCTTGAATGGTTCTAAATTGCTCAGTCTTGTGTTGACATATTACCATGACCCATCTCTGTCTGAGCATATGTGCCAATAATCTGGTAATTTCTTGCTAATGGCAGCCATTTTGCCTTCTGTTGCTCTGTTGCAAGTCTCTCTAGGGCAGGAACAAACATGACATTGTGGAGACCCAACGTGTGATCTTGGTTGATTGCTCTGAAATCCGACACATGTAGACAATGGATTAATCAAACACACAAACATAAAATAAAATTTTCATAAACACCATATCAAGATCGTTTTCTAATCAATCATTGCAGCAATTAATATTGTGATAAAGTCCTCTAAATCTGTGTTAATTCAAAAACAATTTAAGAAAATAAGCTATAATTGTACAGAAACAGTCATTTTCATCCCAACTTAAAAAAACCCATAGTTTATATATTAAGAATAATATATATTAAGAATAAAAGGAAAGTTAATTTAGCTTACTTGAGTGCCAGTCCAAATTCTACATCATTCCAGCTGTGTTCCTGTTTGAGCGTGAATAACCTAACAGATCTCTCTAGACCCTTTGCATACACCTCTTGTCTGGATTTATACACTCTGTCATTGGCATACTCTTTAAACAGGGACTCCTTAAATAATATTTTCTCTGTAATGAATAGAATTTTTTTCCAGCTTTTTAAATATAAACTCTGTTCTGTCAAAAAGAGATGAGAAATTAAGAGACATGCAGAATAGTTGAATTAATTGAAAAATTCGGAAAAATATGCAAACCAATAAAAGTAATTAAACGTTTAACAAGAACTTACAAAACAAAAACAGTGCAAATTACTTGGTCTAGAATAGAAAAATTTGCTTTCATCCATGAATGCATATGAGGCACATGTTACTAAACAAAATGCTCTAGCTATCATCAAAATAATAAATTCCCATGGACGAAATTTAGTAATAGGCCTACTAGGCTTGACCCAACTGCCAAAGCATTTTTTTTCGTTCCGAATAGACGACTTTCACATTTACAAAAGTTATTTCCCTTTGCGGGTTCAATCTGGGGTCAACCGGCGTAATGCACTGTTTTCCCTCTATAACATTACCAACTTTACAGGGCAACTTTTTACAAATGAAATCTGTATGAATATGTTTATTATGATTTTAATGCTGCCCCATACTATGACAATACAGGTACGAATCAAAATTGTCAGATGGCGTTTGGAGGTTCAAAATATTTACAGGTAAGTTACAAAGGATGATATAGTGAGAAAAATGAGCGTTACCATATATAATACACACCTTGTAGGAGCAACTTAGTTGAGACTATGATCACTTCTTTGGAAAATGAGTCCCTTTTTATGACCTCTTAATCTTACCTATTTCCCTCCTTTTTTCAGTTATATGGCGACCACCGTCAATGAAATGTGTAATTTCGGAAATATGTGGAGTTAATTGCGATCTGTCACGTTCAATCTGGAGGTCAGGATTCACTTTAGAAGGTATCTTGCCAAGGTTCCATACAATTGCAGCCGACATTTTGAACGGATGTCTCTGCTCTCATAATGTCACATGATCAAGGCGTGCGTAAGCTTTAAATTGGAAAGGGATTTTCTATTCCGAACAAATCATAGGATGGAGACTTGCACTTATTTTTCTCTCTGTGTGTGAATTCATTGATTAAGATAAAATCGAAAATCGCAGAAATCATTATATCGTAGTAGGAATACGATATTAAAAAAAAACATTATCAAGATATGATCGTAAAACACTGATGCCCCAGGCCCGTATATGGCAGTCCGTGGCGAGTGTGTAGTAGCTTTTCAAATGCGAATCGAACTCCAGGGTCAAGAGATCAAAAATGTTGGTACCCAGCGAAAGGTCTTGTCACAAGGAATATACACGTGAAATATAAAAGCCCTAGCATCAACCATTTAAAAGTCATTGCCAGGGTTAAGTTAAAGTTTTTTTCAAAAGAAGGGATAAAAGGTCAAAACTATTGGTACCTTAAAGCTTAGGTGCCTTGGTGCTTAGGGAAGGACATATCACAAGAAATACACATTTGAGATATGAAAGCCCTTGCACCAATTGTTCAAAAGTTATGACCAAGGTTAAAGTTTTTTAAAAGTAGGTTAAACTCTAAGGTCTAGGTCAAAAGGTCAAAATTGTTGGTCTTGCCACAAGTAATATGCATCCTGAAATATGAAAGGCCTTGCATCAACTGTTCAAAAGTTATCTCCAAGGTTAAAGTTTTTTCAAAAGTAGGTCAAACTCCAAAGTCAAGGCCAAAAGGTCAAAATATGATTGTTGTACCCACGGGAAGGTCTTATCACAAGGATACACATATGAAGTATGAAAGCCATAGCAACAACCCTTCAAAAGTAAGGGCCAAGGTTAAAGTTTGGTAAACGTTTGCAAAAGTGGGTCAAAATCCAAGGTCAAGAGGCCAAATATGTTGGTACCCAAAAGGAAGGTTTTGTCACAAGGAATACACTTGTGAAATATGAAAGCCAATGGTCCAACCAATCAAAAGTTATGGGCAATCTTAAAGTTTTTTTCGGACAAACATATAGCTAGACAGACAGACAAACAGGACAAAAACTATATACCACCGAATCTTCGATTGTGGGGGCATAAAAAAGAAAAACCCATTTCCCAAACTTGAAAAAAAAAACCTACCCGGTATTTCATGGTGGTGGTGAGGTGAGGGCTGTGTCTCTATTCTAACACTCTGGGTAGTGTGTCTACACTAAAACTCTGGGCTGTGTCTCTATTCTAACACTCTGGGCAGTGTGTCTACACTAACACTCTGGGCAGTGTCTCTACACTAACACTCTCGGCAGTGTGTCTACACTAACACTCTGGGCAGTGGGTCTACACTCACACTCTGGGCAGTGTGTCAACACTCACACTCTTGGCAGTGTGTCTACACGAACACTCGGGGCAGTGTGTCTTGTACTTTGGAAGTAGCAGATACTTTTATTGTTGTTGACTTACTGTATAATTTTTTTCACGGAAAGTCTATTATAAGACAAATTTAAGAAGATCGATCCAACGCATTATATGCAAACGCACTCCTTTGTACCTCAAGAATAACGTACGGTTTGAATTGAAGATATGCCCTTTGTGAACGATCCCATGATATTTATTGGGTGAACACAACAATTCTTTTTCACCTTTTCCAATTATTTATGGCTAATTTCATACATATATTTCTATTTCACCAACAATGGAAAGAATTGAAAGAATCAAGAACAACAACGTAGCCACACCGATATAAACATATTGAATTCAACAAAGACCAATATGATCCAGGTATAAGATAAACTATACATACATTATAAAAGTTTACACATAGCATGTAAAGGCTACTGTCATCTGAGTGGAAATTACATGTGATATAATCACTCAATTGACTGTTAATTAAAAAAATGACCAAACACAGATTTATCAACCTGCACTAAAAATAAAGGCAATGGGAATAAATTTCTATGTCTCAGCAAATGTCTTTAGATAGTGTCTAAACACCTGCCAAATATCTCATTGATATCTCAATTCACAAAAAAAAGATATGCCCAAAAATGATGCTAAAAATGTCAGGAGTGCAACACCTTTTTGTGACATTTTGAAAATTTAATATTTTGTGAAGATCTGTGAAATAAATAATAATGGTTTATGTTGGAAATAAAGACTTTTTTGATAATATTCAAAGTATTGACCTTTAAATGTAGACTGTAGCAACTTTTGTTTGACCAAATTGTGGTCATCGCTGATGTTGAAAAAAATGTGCAACAGAAAAAATGTAATGTTGCCAAAAAAACATTGATTTTGAAAATCTGAAAGTTAATTAAATCAAAAAAGAATTTTCAAAGTGTAAAACAACAACTATTATACAATTATGCAATTGAAAAATTTAAAATGTTATATAAATCTCAAGCAGCATTAATGAGAGTCAAGTATCTGTGCATACCCAATAATGTCAGGAGTGCATCAAAAACTATCATTTCTTTTGATTATGTATTTCAGAAAGTCTCTTAGGATGTAATGATATCTCTTTTTTCAAATAAATTTTTACTAATAAAAATTCTGAAACTTTTTTATCCTATTGTCGATTCTATTGCAACTTCAGGAATTTTAACTAGAATGAATGTACAGTATGATGATAAAAGTGAAAAATATGTTATGGGTAGTTGATTTTTTTTAAAAATCAATTTGGTGTTCATTATTTTTTAATTCACCCTTGAATAAAATCACTCAATTATGTTTTCCAGTGAACATATCTCCTCTGACAACAGCATGGGGAAATTTCTTCTTTAATTCCAAGTTTTCTGGAGCCACGGAATCAGGTAGGATTTACTACTCTCTAACGGAAGGCTTTTGTATTGTGGTAGATGTCCATGACCATGTACATGTGAAGCTAAAACAAAACCCAAAACAATTCATTATAGGATATAATTTCATGCACCCATAGGCATGAAGTAAGTATGGAACCATTGACTTCGTAACAGTTATTTGAGGAATGAATTTAAAATTCTACGAGTAAACGATTACAAATTGGGTTTGGTTCAATTTACTTTAATAATCAGATGTTATCAACAAAATTTGACATACTAATGTCCCTATCTATTTTGATTTTTGCATTAAGATTTCACTCAATCATATAAAATGCTTTTTAGAATATTTAAATAAAACAAAGGTAGGTTTTGTCTATTGCCGCACGGCAAGAATATTACCGACGTCGTTATGACGTTACTTTTCGGACCTCATTTTCAGTTAACTGCATTTCCTTTTAACCTCTCACGAACATCTTTTTAATAATCTTTATTGCTATTTAACTATAAACCGTCTTGTTTTATGTTGTAGTATTAAAATTATTTGAACTTTGACAAATGTTATTTTTAATTAAAATATAAGGTATCAGATTCAAAATGAGTGTCGAAGAGAAACGTCATAACGACGTCGCTACATTCTTGCCGTGCAGCGATAGACGAGAACCACTCCCTGTATCAGCCGTAGACACCAATATCAACCAGAGGGCCGAAGGTCCGAGGGAAGATATTGGTCGAGGGTTGATACAGGGCTTAATATGGAAATTGATACAGTGTATGTATTGTTTTTTTTTTTTTTTTTTTTTACAATCTTAGTGATAACATGCAGAAAGCATTTTTTGAACGAATAGAATATGATAATTATTAACTGCTTAACCATATCAAGTAACCAGAAATAGGCATGTTAACTCAGATAATGGCCGTTGGAACCGGGGGGGGGGGGGGGTATTCAATAATTTTGCCGATATATATATTAGGCTAGCTATTATTACATGTATTATCATTTTCTTCATCTTCATGTGGCTTTCTACCTACTCAGTATTGACTCAGTTTCAGACAATTGTGGATATGTTACAAATCTTGCATCTTCACTAGTATCTTACTTCTGGTATTGTACATCTTTAATTTGTTCCTCCGTGCATGGTAGACATGATTCATATTTTAACATATTACGATATTTTAATATCATTTAAATGTGATAATACTGAATTAATTGTATATACTTTCTGAGGGGCCATGATTGGTGAATAAATATATGTATGTATAGAATACTATAGAAAACGCTTGTGCTACAATAATAAAGTCTAATGATTTTTTTTTTTTTTGCTTGTCAAGGGATTTTTGTAGCGCTCCCCAAACTGAAAATATATAGTTGTGCCACCCCCATTCTTCCCCCAACCCCGCCACACACACTGAAATTGCTTCCTACGGACTTGCATATAGTGGTTTTTAAGGTTTAATCCGCAAAGACATTTTATATCCATATCAATCTTAAAGATCCAAATCAGCACTGCAAAACAAGTATCAGCTGAAGTAACTGATACGACTGTTGTAAAGTACGCTGTATTGTATATGCAAAAAAAAAAACAAAAAACAAAAAACAAAAAAAAAAAAAACCTTGTGTTTATTACTAAGTATGTACATGTAACAGGGGTAATAAAAACTATTTTTTATCCAACGAAATAGAGCGTTACAGCTAGAATCTATTTATATATTAACTTACTGGCGCACAGATCACAGTATTTGGTACATCCTACGGTTTTGGCAGTAGTGTGGTGAATTCCCCTGCAGATGTCATTTATTTGTGAACAGAAATGTGCATCTGGGTGGCATTCACCTTTGAATTAAAATTATATATCATGTTCATTGATTGAAAATAATATTATAAACTGAAACTTATATCTCTCGCTCAGCTTGTTCATAGACTCGAAGGTCAAATTTTTGAAAAAATACCCAACTTCTCATACCTGTGTTTGATGCAGGAGATTGAGTAACTGGCACTGATTGTGTTGACGTATCTTGTGTCCCCCCTGCGCTTGCTGTAATGAATAAGGTAGGAACATCATTTATGTGGACCAAAACCCTTTTCTATCATGAAACACATAACATAAAAGCCTGTCCAAATAATTGTATCACTTTTCTGCAGCTGTGGAATAATCTAGTAGGAATACTAGTTACCTGCAAGAGAGCCTTTATAGTTTCCACAGGTAGGGAAACCTTCTGGTACCGGTGGTAAGTTAGGAAAGGACTCGTTCAGAAGTAAAGTCATGCCGTCTGCTGAGTGAAGCTGGATGTGGCAATGCATGATCCACAATCCTGGATTATCGGCCTTTATCCTTACCACCACGTATCCGCCACTCGGCACAATAACTGTGTCTTTTCGCGGTGGATCCACAAGGTTAAGACCAGGAATATTTCCATGCTTCCAAGATGGATCCCTCCAAGTGGCATTGTTACAGAAACTTTCATCCTGGGTGGTTCCCCCTTGGCAGTCTATATCTGGGTTTTGAGATAAGAATTCCCCGGATGACGTGTTGTAATTACCATATCCCATTTTTAAAACATGAAATGTATGACCATGCATGTGAATTGGATGAGACCAACCTTTTCCTCTCCCCATGTTCACAAACACAAACTGAATTGTATCGTTGTGCTTTAAGTCAATGCTGTGAGTACACGAGCAAATTTTCTGTTCCCCACAGTCAGCTTTTGAACATTGTTCCGTTATCGCGGTCGGCTGAGATATCGCTGAAACAGTAGGAAATGCAAACTCTATACCATTAACAGAGTCTGGAGAAAAATTTGGCCCTGGAAATGCAAAGTTCAAAAAGTGTTCCTGAAAGGCTCCAGGCTGATAATCAGGAACGTCTTCAGGAGAATCACTCCTGATTTTATCCATTGTTATACACTGGATATTTTTCTCTTTTGGATAAAATGAAAATGGACAATTCAAGACCAAGCACTTGCTTGATGATAGACACTGTGCTCTGGTGGAAAAGATGTTCACAAAATTCTGGTCTGCACCATTATAGTGTAACACTGCTTCGGCAAGTGTGCTTCTGTTGACTTCTAAGGTATGTCCTCTAATCATGTAGTTTCCAACACTGTTATTGGTGTACATGAGAAAGTCAAATCTCTCTCCTGGGTGTATAATCAGTGATTCTACCATCACTGGTTTTATAAAATACCCATCGGTGGCAACAACTGTCAAAGGATGGCTGTCTACAGAAATTCTATATGGATACATACCAGCAGCGTTTATTACACGAAATCTGTAATTTTTATTTTTATCAACCTTAAACACTTCAAGAGGTGCTTCATTGTGTGCCCCGGTCGTGGAGTCGTAGTACCTTCCTTTTCCGTTAATAAGAGCAGATTCAGCATACCAGAGACTGAAATTAGATCCGTCCAGCGCCACGGAGGGTTTGATTTCTTTTCTATTTAAAAAGACCCCAGCATCAGAATAAAGGAATGCTTGGTCGACGTCATAATCATGGTTCCAGTCCTGTATCTGCAGAACAAACTCTTCAGTCACTCCTTGTACAGCTGGTGGTGGATTCCGCTCTCTAATGATTAAAGCGCCATACAAACCCTTTGTTCTCTGCGCTCCAACATGAGAGTGGTACCAATATGTTCCTCTAGGTCTAGCTTGGAAGGTATATGTAAATGTTTGTCCTGGATTTATGGGGCACTGTGTTACGAAACCTACCCCGTCCATGTAGGGCGTACCTTTTTGTGGCAATCCATGCCAGTGAATGGACACTGTATCGGAGTATAATTTATTTTTGACATGAACCACTAGTGTTTGGTCTTCGTACACGGTAATGGTTGGTCCTGGTAGACTTCCGTTTGCGACGATAACAACCCTCTGCATTTCCCATCCATCAGCTGTGATGACTTCATCTATGTTGACTGGTGTAGCTGCGTTTATGTTTGTGACGTCATAACGATAAAGATGGCCACTGTTTGGAAATACAGCCATTTCTGTCTCATGGAACATGGTCAGTGAAGTAGCAATCTCTAAAGACGTCTCACAGACTGAGGCATGCTCATCGCAAACAAAAGCTAATCCACTGTTGGCCAGAAGGAGGAACACGGCCATGTAGTATATGAAATACATCTAAAATAGATATGTCGATGAATTAAAACTAAAAAATAGATAAACAAGTTTTGAAAAGTAATGTGTTTGTTTATTTCCTTTTTGTCATAGTTGTGTTTCTTTTTGTTTTCTTGTTTTGTTTGTTTGTTTAATTTATTTGTCATACTTGAAGATTTCGATATTTATTTATTTTTTTTAAAATACCAAATTTAAATATTTCATATCATTAAGCATTTGAAATTGTCAATGGATTTATGTAAAACTATTATGAAATTTTTATCAATATATCTTTTTACCGATAGTTTGAATACAATTTTACAATATCGGACGCTTCTTATTATATAGATTTAACCGAAAAAAAACGTCAATAGATCTATTTATTCCATACACTTAAAGTAATTGAAAGCGAGAGAGCGATTTGGTATCAATCTTAAGAGTTGAAATGAATTTAATATCTAATAGTGTTTTTAAAAAGCATTTTTTTTATTTTGGGGTAAGATACTTAAATAGAAAAAAAAAATAACGTGTGGGTATCCTACGGTTTTCCATACTAACGCTATTAACATATTATATAATATATAGTCATATCCCGCCACTGAAGAAGGGGGAAATGTACCAAGAAAAATGCTGTATGAATATTTTGTTAAAGTGTTCTTTGGATGCTATCGGAGAGGGATTTAATTAATTTATTCTACAATGTCCTTTTTATCATGACCCTAGATTAAGATATTTGGGACACAGGCACCTGACGTTACTTATTTTTCTTTTAATAAAAAAATATATACCTCCTACCTAATACGTATTATTAGGTAGGAGGTATATATTTTTTTATTAAAAGAAAATAAGTAACGTCAGGTGCCTGTGATTTGGGAAAAAAGTATTCTTATAAGAAATCTTACTGCACCAAATGTAAAGGAAATTTGTAATATTGGAAAATATCTATATCAAGCTTCCATTAGAAGAATGAATCTATTGTAATTTTTATGTGTTTCACAATTACAATAACATGTTATAACATGTCCTATATTCTTGCTATTTATTACATTTTCAACAGTGAAATACTGTGATTCAGTTATTGAATAAAAATGATATTCTCTCACAGCGTGAACGGATACCAAAATGATATTCTGTCACAGTGTGAAAGGATATCAAAGTAAGTAAAATATAATATATAGCCTGTAATAAGGTATAGATAGTAACTTAAACATCGTGATAGAGACTAAAACTGCAGATTACTTCCCAAATATGTAACTAAAATCCATGTTGCAATGTTTTCAATCTCACAACTGCTAAACGTCTCGATTGCTCAATTATGACATCACAGCCTATGACACTGTGTTATGAAAAGACGGAGGCAAGGGGAAAATCAAAGAAAATGTAATAAACAGAAAATACAATGATTTGTAGTTGGATATGGAATTTATTTCCCTCGTGAGACAGGATTTCTTGATATGTTCACCCGTGCTTTGCACTATGAAAATATCAAAATATCTTGTCCCACTCGTGAAATAAATTCCACATCCAAGTACAAAATTGAATATCCTCTATTTACTTTTTATGCTTACTCTCATTTTGTAATACCTTATTATACTGTATTATTTGTTTAGTCATTACTATGAACTCTGATGTGTTGTATGACACGAAGAAATAAAGAACTTGAATATATACTTGACAATTTATATTATTTAACATAATTTTATATATTGCAATTATTCTGATATATTTGAAATAATAAAAATTAAATTTTCATTCAATAAGCAATATGATATTGAAATATCTTGTTGCACATGGGATATTACTATCGTCTTGATACATATATAATACTATGTAGTCACAGTCCTACCTTGGCCATATCAGACATCGTCTCCGGTGATCACTATGGACAGCTTAGATAATCCCGTTCTATTTATACCGTGCCCCGGAGACATACTGCAGTTCCTAGGGAGATGACGGATTTGATGTTGACCAGTTATCGAAGAAGTCCAGAGAAATATGGAATACCAAATCCGGCCATAAATTTACTACGAAATATGACAATTTTTTCACAGCGTAAAATGATCGCAATTTCTATAATATCCAGAAAAAAAATCTTTGTATGAAAGCAGATGAGGAATTGCAAGACAAATTTAAGTCTTCTTTTTTTAATATTGAATTTTAATAAATATACCATAAACAATTTTTTCCTAATACTCAGCAGTACAATTACACTTTCCACGTATCATTTTTAAAGTGATCTGCTGTAATAAAAATTTAACGACAAATACTCAGATATTCAGTTAAGCAATCGTCATAATTTTGATCTCATAGATTTCAACTTTAGTTTCCTTAAAGGGGGTCCACAATTTAAAAGCCCATATAATAAACTGATGCGAAGTTTATTCGAAGTCAACACTAAATAAATAAATAAAAAACAAACATGCAATCAAAACAATTTGGCCACACATTGAAGATAACGAACACTAATTATTCTCTAAAGTCCAATTAAACAATACAATGTTAATAACAGAGCCCTACGTCTTGGTCAGGTAAACAGGAGTAATATGTGGACCTCCAGTATAAAAACAATTCCCTAATATTATAATTAGATAATTCAGTCAACAAATATTCATTCGATCTTGGAAAGGTTGTAACTGGAAGCTGGCTTGTCATTGTATCGACCACAGAATTTGCGAAATGTAGACTTCAAACGAGATTTTTATACCTTTGTAACATCAACGTATTTATCAGTAAACTGCCTTGTTCAAAAGTTGTTCGAACGCAGAACATGCTCTTGTGTATGTGTATGCAGATGATGAAGGCATGGACGTAGGAACCGAGGGGCGCGAAGGGCGTCTCCCTCCTAAACAAATTGTCGATAGTATACTATAGAAAAGAGCTACTTTTTGCATAGTAATGCCCCTTCACCCAAACTGAAAATGTATTGTTGTGCCCCCCAACCCGAAATTGCTTCCTACAGGCCTTATAGGTTCCATATGACTATATAAGTAATGGAAGGTGAACGTAGAAAAGTTAGTTTTTCCTAAAGTTTAGATGTTAGTTTCCAAAAAACTTTCTCTTGTAAAACATCCAGATACGAAACAAAGGTTTCATACTCTGTAGTTTCTATTATTTCGATTTCAGTGGGATCTTTTTAATCAAAGTATGGATGGAAATGATTATTGTTGATTGATAACACGTCGCCCGGATATATCTATAAATAAGGACTAGAAAATTCGTCTTTTCATGTAGAATTTTTTGAATAGATATTCTGCTTCATCAGAATGCAAAAACAGGTATGATAAGAAATGGACACAATTAGTTCTCATGGGAATTCCAACAGACTTTCGGAACACCTTGTCTCATAATACTACATACATACTGTCAATAGTGCATTTTATTGAATACATTTTTTTTACATATATAGTTAAACTTATTGGACGATTGTCTTCTTTAATAAAATCATTCCAATTTTTTTTCTACGTTAAGCTTCCGCAGTTTTTGACATTTATTCTGGAGAAAGCACAAAAAATCAGTAGTATGGACTTAGCATTTTGTATGAAACATTTTGAATTCTGTCTATTTCTTCCTATATTTGTTGAGAATCTGTCAAATTAGTAATTGTTAAGTACATGTATTTGCTGTCTTGATTTTGATAAGGTATATTTCGTCGAGAAAAAAAGACTATGAAACCGAATTCTTTGAAAGATATCGCTATTATCATTACTTTATAATGTGTTTATTTTATTATAGGCTTGTGCGCTTTCTTTTTGTAAATAGGTACGAATTCCTTTTATTATAAATGGTTGGTAAACAGGAATTAACACGGAATGGCCTTAAATATTAAAGGGTACATTGAATGAAGACAATTAATGCTCTCCATATCAATTTTTTATTTGAAAGGTACATGTGTACCTAAAGCTTGAAGGGTACAGTGGCATGTATACTTAGAGCTTCTTTCAAATATTCACGTGAAGATTCATGTGTACATAAACGCATAAGGAGCCATTGTTTTGAAGGATAGGCAAACTCTGCTTTTGATAATTATTTTATTTCAAAGGGAAGTCTGACTGCAGGTGCGTAAATGTTCCAGACGTGTGAAGGAATTCTACTGCATTTTCCAATATGAATCACCCTATTTGAGTATTATCTAAGAACACTGGAAAAAACATGTCCACATTAAATATTTATCTAGTTTGGTGTTATCTTCAGGTTGTTCAAATGTATTAAAAGTACAAAATAAACATAAAGTACAAGAACTCTATATGGTGCAATGTTTCTAGATTGACGTGTTGTTTTGGAGATTTTTGACAAGTGAACATTGAAGATTTGAAATAACATGTCACCGATAAGTCATACGAGAGACCAATTTGTTGTACCTACTTATACATGTACGTAGTGCGCAGTTCTTTGACTTGACTGAACCTTAATTATAATAAAAATGGATGAATCAAAATTTAAAAAAAAGAAAGAAAGAAAAAAGAAAAGAAAGAAAAAAGAAAAGAAAATCTACTACCTTGGGATAAAGTATTAGATTCACAGAGTAGAATTAAATTACATAAGTTCCTTTTTTTCAAAGATAAAATTTTATTGTTGATAACAGTACAAAACGGATATAACTGCAACCACTTTTTTTCTCAATTCAATATTGTTTTCATTCTTTTTTAAGTAATTTTCTTTTTATGTATGCCACATGATGAAATCCTTTATTTCTCGACTAACGATCGTTTTATGAGAAAAATGACTTGTGTCAGTTTGAACTACAAGTACATGTAGGTGATGTAAATCTAATGTTGTGATTGAGGCTTCCTTAAAGGAAGGAATCTATTACTCTTCAACTATACGAAATTTTATTTGGTACCTTTGGTAGACTAACATAGTGACATCGTAAATTTATAGGTACTATAGACAGGGCCGAATTAGTCCCAGACATGATAGAAGACCTTTCTTTTCTATTGGTAATGCGTATTTCTGAACAAATTTACTTCATTTGTTGGTTGGGTATCCCAGACATGATAGAAGACCTT